CTGCTGTGCAACATCAACTCTGTGCCTTGATTGCCTAGCTGAAGCTTTTATCTCTGTGCTTTTATCTCACACAGACTGTAAGGAATTTGCTGCATATGTACAGAAGAAATTAGTATAGGATGAGTGGGAAGTTAATCTTTCTAAATTTGTGTGCTTGGCACTCCAATCAAAGTATCTTTTCTTAAACTTGGGAACCGCAGAGGATGGTGTTCTGCTGACAGGCATAGCACACAACAAAACGACCATACCCTAGCTGTATAATATACACATAATGTGCACAGTTTATTAAACAAGCATACTAACACGAATAGGATCTATATCTGTCTATATATATATTAATGCAAATCATATATATATATACACACATACATATAAGTACAGAGGAAAATTAGCAATGCATCAAGTCATTACTGCATAGAGAGAAAAGAGATTAAGAAGAAATACATGACCAGTCACCACCGAATCATCATCCAGGTCCACACTTCCAGCTGGGAAGCCCCGTTGCAGTCAACGCTGGGAGTCTCAACTGAGAAAATTCCTGTGCAGTGTGCCTACCCACAGGTGAGGATCGAGATTCAGCTTCAAGAGGGTCCTGCCTTTATACCCTTAGAAAAACAAACAGCATCGGCCAGGCACTCTGATGTGGCTAAACATGAAGGTCACAGCACAACTGCACATCTATGTTTTCCTGCCTCTTTCTTACAAACAGGAATGACAAACATAAACATCTATGCTCTCCAGAATACACTGTGACAAAAACATACTTTGTTATGTCTCTCAGTCATGAGAGAGAACTAACTCTTAGCTAGGTTCCCATCTGTTACATATGCCCATATTGATTCCCTGTAAAAGTAAGTACTACTGTATAGAGGTATCTGACTTCTCAACCTTCAGCAATGCAACATGTAAGGATAAAGCCACTGTCTTCAAGCAAAGCATTATCCTAAGGCCATATACTAAATCCCAAGGGAAAAAGACTACACTTTCTATATTTCAAGAGCTTCCATTTTTCCCAGGGAAAGGTGGCTCCTTCCTGGATATAGGCCCAGCTGCTGAAGCTAAAGGAATTTTCATGAGAAACCCAATTGCTTTTCCTCCCAACCAGCTGGGAGAAGATAGGGCAAATGATGGCCTGAGATACAAGAAAAAAATCTCTCAAGTGCTGCAGAAGCACTTTAGAACCTGGACAGCTCTGTATGTATCAACTAAGTCAATCTCATCCAAGTGCACTGAAAACATTGCCTTATTTTCCCCTCATCCTTTTTTTTGCAAGTGAAGGAAGAATTACTTAATTGTCAAGGGGAGTGATTCAAAGAGCTGTCAAATTTGGTAACTTTTCAGACAATCTCATATTTTTAAAGAAAGTAATTCATAATTCATTTTATATTCTCCAGTTATCACTCTCAACACTTCTTAATGATTTGCCAAAAATAACTGTGAGCTTTTGCAATTTCTTTCCCATGTTATTTAATAACCTGTGTTTTACATCTAACTATATAGCTCAAAACACTTTCTTAACAGATTAATTATTTAAAGTGTCTATAGCATTAACACTGAAAGCAATCACTGAGCTCAGTAACTTCTGACAGTGGCTAGGAATTAGAACAAGCTGAAGAAAAGCAACCATACTACCTATAAAGCATGAAACCTAACTTTTTCTGATACAATAAGTTACTATTTCCTAAAATACTTACAGCACAATGCAAGTTACCACCTGCATAGACTTTCTACGTAAGTAAAATAGAGTAAAACACAAAGTCAGTGACTGAAGTACATTAGTAAATTCTACGCATTTAAAGCGCCTTGCATTTTAATTCAAATAAAACTAACTTGAAATAACTGAATAAAAACATGACAGTAAATCTGAGCTCTGCACAGTAACATAACAATCATCCCACTAACATACCAGAGATAGGCATTTTAAGTTCTAGAGGTTAAAAAAAAAATGCATAGCTTGTAATGTTCATCAACTTTGCAAAATATTTTGCAGGACTCAAGCAAGTAATGTTTATATTTTGTCTGTCTTGAGCTAATGGCACACACACTTTTTTCTTCTGTTTCAGTCACTGTTGAGACTAGGATTAACTATTATACTTCACATAAACCCGTAAGACACTATTTTCCATACCTGTTAAATTCTGAAAATTTTAATTCACAGAATTTAGCTGACATACCAGAATTTGATTCTGAAAGAAAAAAAAAAATAAACTCACTGAAAAAATTATTTTTCAGGATATAGAATTTCTTATATTTTAGAACTTGATCCCTTTTCTTGATTAATCATAATGACTAATCAAATAACTGGCACTTCTAAAACCTTAGCATAATAATTGTCACTGGACTTCGCTCCAGAAAACCAAGGACTCTCGTTATAATCCACCTAATCAAATAAAAGTCTAGTGCCTAATTTTGACAGGATAAACCTTTAGACTTGAAACCTTCACTGGCTGGTTTTAAAAGGCCATCAACCATCTATTTTAAATGTTAAGGTCAAACATTTATAAAACATAAGCACTGTCAAAATGGAAGAAAAGCCTCAGACCACATGCAGAGTCAAGGAAGTTCAATGCAAATTTCCAAAGGACAATATTAATTATTTCTTATCCTTGCTAATTACAACAAATAAAGAAATGATGCTGTACAGTTTGGGCAGCTACTACGAAGATCTGTCAAAGGAGATGAATCCTGACAAGGTGCAACATCATGATTCTAATCCCACTATGTTAAAATAATCAAACTTTTGCATCCTATAAAATACATTAATCATTCATAACGTCTTGCTGGCTTTCTCTACTTTCAACCAGCTTATTAGCACTAACATGTGTAAAGGAGTATCTGTAATGCAGTGGGGTATTTATCTGGGCAGAACCCTGCATAAAAAGCATCATGTCTTTCTAATACCTGAACTCTCTTCAGATTTTAGGCATCTCTACAAGCATATGAACATAAAGTATCCTCACAGATTCAGTTTTATATAAATCCAGCAAATCAGATTATACTCTTTCTGCAACTTTAACTGCTTCCTGTAACTGCCTGAGGCCAACATGATCAATTTCCAATATTTGCTGTGCACACATCTTGAGGTTGACTTTGGGATCCAAACTCCAGTCTTCTAGTAAAGACTGAACACACATAGCCAAGCAGTCAGCCTACATTTTTGTATGCTTCTCTACGTACAATAAAAATGCATTCCTTGAACGTTTCCATACTACAGACAATATTTAATTTGCTTTGAATGTTTCCACTCTGAATTTTAATTCTGTATGCTGGCCACAACATAATGACAACTTATTACATGAAAACTAACAGTATGAAACAGAAACAGCTAAAACTAACTCATTTTAACAGACTGAGATCATATTCCTGGCACAGTCCCACCCCAGTTTCTGGTTTGCATTTATGTTATGCACTTATCTCAGGATCCTTCACTAGAATGTGCACCATACAGTCCCTTGTAGTTCCGTACTAAAGAACTGATTGTACTTATTTACAAAGAAAGCCTTAAACACAGACAGACAGATAAATTCAAAAGAACAATCTGTCTGGATTTTCAGTGTCATCAAACTTGTAAAAAGAAATAAATCTCAAAATTAACACAGGCTTATCTCCTTGTGTATTTTTCCTCAAGTAACTTTAACTTTGAAGGCTTCTACAAGTTTTCTTATACTCCAGGGTATCACAGATCTAAACCTTGAACATCTGCCTTTTCTGTGAAGAGTTCTTTTACAAATTCCATCCAATATACACTTATCTCTTTCCTGAGACCACAAGTCCTTCAAGTGCTTCCAGACTTTTATTTGTGTCTTTTCCGAGATGCATTCCATTGAGCTACCATCCTCCTAGTGATACTCATTTCTAAAACTTACATTCTACTTGCTATTCTGTGGTTTAGATTTCCTCATGTTATTAATTTATTTTCAATTCTCCGATTTTGTTCTGGTTCCTTCTCTTCTGAAAAGTTTATCACTGTTTTCAGTTTTGAATTAAACTTATTAATCCTTCAGACTAAAAATATGGTGTAACTCACAAAGCATGTAACAGGACATTAATCAAAAGTTAAACATTGGGAAACACATATTTAAGTTATTTCAGGCAACCTATATAACCATCAATTAAAAAATTATAAAGGCACCTCTTCTCTTTCCATTCAGAATTACTTACCACTTCTGCAAACTTACCACACTTGGGCAAACCTACCTTAAACTCTGCCTGTCATTATTATAGCACAGCTGCTCTGTACTAACATCTAAATGTGTCTGACTATACATTTTAGTAAGATAGCTCAGCTCTAGCTCCAAACAGCCTGAAGATGAACAACCTCCCTAAACCATTTTAAACCAATGCAGCCTACCAAGTATTTTAAAAACAATACCCCTCCACTCTTGAACATACATCACTTCTGAGCTGACATAAACACTCCATTGACAAATTTGTGGTAAGGAAGTACATTATCCTGTCAATCCGTATAAAAAAGGAAATGTAGTTAAGACACAGGCAAAACTAAGTGTAGACCTATCACACTCGAAGTAATCAAACCTTTCTTTTTAATAAGGTGTTATTTGAAAAGTTAATTCCTGAAAATCTTTGTATTGAATGTGCCTGGCTTTTTCTTTTCCAATTTCTATTAAAATCCAACCATCTTGTGCATCCATTCAGCATGTCAGGATCACAGTGCTTCTGATTCAGAGGAACAAGGGGCACTTGCTGAACAAGCAGTATATAGCCCAAACTCGGTTTAGGCTAAGACTGAGTCTTCAAGCCTCCAGTGATCTCACAGTCTGAAAAAGGTCTTGAGAGACTCTTTCTGAGACTTTTCTGAAAGATGACAAAAAAAATGTAATCCTAGGCCTCAGAAAATAAACTGCATTTGAATAAGTATTTAGTGGTTCCACAACAAAAAAGGCGAGGAAAGAATATTTACAAACACACATGAACTAACAATATGTAAGACAGAGGAAAACACAAGGCACAAAAGTAATGTGAAATCAAGCCACACATACCTGAGCTGTTGATAGGCGAAAAACAGGGCCAGCTGTGGGCACGGAAAGTCTCGGTGACATGGTGGGAGTACCCTGTGCCTGCGTATGTACTTGAGCCTGCATTTGGGCATGTGCTAGAGCCTGCTGAGGCACCATTACAAGCTGTCCAGCATCCGTGCGCACTAAGACCATACCTAATGAGAAAAAAGTAATAATAACTATACAATAAAGAATAATATATAAGGTACTATGTAACTAAGGAATACCAGTAAAACTTATGGATGGCAGTGTACATTTTTCTTTACACTGTATCATTTTTTATTCTGGTGTAGCATGAGACATTATTTCAAGGAAGAAAAGTAACCCCCACCAGCAGACAAAAACTAATACCCTATTCAGTCTGGAATTCAAATAACTGTAGCTTATGGATAACAGTGACTAAAAAAAGGTCACTTGCGTGTATACGCATACTTTCAGCAGTCTAGTCAGGATGAGCAGAATAAAATTAGAAAGAAATATTTATTAAAATTAAACCATAGTGATAACCTAGTAGCTGAGAATAGAATTCAGTATGAACATAGCAGGGACAATGACATGACAGCTTTACTAAAACAACAGCTTCAGGAGATGTGCACATGCAAACATCAGGCCAGCCACCTTTTTGAGTATACAATACTTGAGATCTAGTTAATTGTTGAGAATTAACAGATGAATTTATTGGGTACCCATCATCACTGTACTGGGAGGCACTACCTGTGGTTTAGACATTAAGAGAAAAATACTGCCAAATCCAGAGAACCAACCCAGCCACTCCTCAGCAGAAAATGATACATGAGCATGTATTTTAGGCAAACGCCAAAAGAATTGCTCTAAAAATCACCACAGTATTTGGCAAGTGTTTTCTAATACATTTTGGAGGTAAATGATAATTTTTCTCAGATTATTTTCTGGTAACACATTTCACAAATAGAGGCCTTCTACACAACACAGACAGTGCTACTAAGCTTTGTCTTAAGTTTTCCATAATTATCAGGTCAGAAAAAGGGGAGACAATGGCTAAGCTGGTCCCTAGATCACCTGGAGCTTCACACTTACTCAACATCACTGCAAAACACGTAAAGTGCTTCCTTATTAAGGAGCAATTCCCCAGCCAGATCATTTAAAAGAATTTCCAAGTTAGGTCCAGAATACACTTTCATAGTTCAACCTAGATAGGGTACAATGGGTCTATAAACAGAAAAATATCCTGACTGCAACTACAGGAGAACCAAAAACATGTAAGAATCTAGGAAGTCACTTTTATTTTATTGGTAAGAGTCAGTTCACACTGTTTCTACAGCTTGTCTCTATGTGCAAATTGCTTTTTTATTTTTTTTTATTTTTACTTTTCAAGGGAAAATAAAGAAGGTAAAAGCATACATTCACTTCTAATTAGCTTCATGGGGGGAAAAAACCTACCTCAGTAGAGAGACATGGCTTGCAACATACCACCAGGATAAAGAAATCCAACACTATTGTAACAAGCAAATAACAAATTTCAGATGTACCCTGTATCAAGAAAGTCCTTCAGTCTCTAACATAAAAATACAAATCCCAGTTGTGGAATGAACACAAGAGTGAACTGCAGCACCAACAAAAGCCCTCACTCTCGTAGTCTTAGGTGCTCCCACACAACCCTCCTTGCTAAAAACACAAACAAGAGCCAAATTTCTGCCACCACAAACTAAACAATTTTGGAAAACAAGCTTTAAGGTTAAAGGAACAGAGCTCTACAGAAGAACCACATCCAAATGCCACGTTCATAACTCTCTTTCTAAGACCAGACAGCAATTTTTAAAAGAAAAGCTGAAAAAAGCCCATAAAAACTCTTCCAAAATATACTTGGTTTTTAAGGTCCATCAGCGATTTAAGCAGCAAACTTCATGGTCTGTATTTGCAGATAATTCCATATACAGATTATGTACTCGGTATATGCCATTCCTAAACCATCCAGAAAGAAAAATACCAGTACATTGCCAACTGGCCAAACACATATCCCTCCTCTGATTACATTGTGAATTTTATATAAAATCCTCCTAGGATAATGCCTACCACACATTAAAAACTACACATTCTATTGCTATTACACGGTTTCACAGGTGTGTTGATTTATCTTCCAATCTTCTAAAACCAATTCTGAATTAAAAAAATAACGAATGGAGAAGACAAATTAATTGCAACACAAGCCACAGTTTCAATAAAAGTTTTAGACATAATTACTACCATAGATGAATAAATGTTCATGTATTGATGTTATGTTTTAATTCAGTTTGGAGGACTTGAAATTTCTTTTCCCGAGCAATACATACAAATTAGAATCTGGTTAAATTATGACACTATTTTTTCCTGTCAGACACATAAAGACAAAACACACAACTTATGATTATTACATGGTAAAATAACCTATTCTCAAAAGCTGATTCTAAATTTCTTCTTTAGAGAGAAGTTTACAAAGTGGGAGTTTCAAAATTAATTATAAATGATCCACCAATTTTAGGAATGAAAAACTCAAAAATAACATTGTATTTTCTAAATAACTTCATTTTAGAACATACTATCTTACTGTTTATGAAAATACAATGGATTTCAAGCTGACCTGTAATAAAATCAAATTCAAATTATAACTTTCTACAGTATTATTTCCATAACATTTTCTAAATCTTGGATCAGATCGCTTTCAAGGGCTCTGTTTTCCCTCTTCTGCTTAAAACTTAAGTAGCAAAATGCAGTGTCGACACAAGAAACTTCAACAACTGTATGCAAAGTTACAACACATCGTATGTGTATACTAATTATCAAACAAATAAACAATGGAAAATCAAAGGCTAAAGTCACTAATGTAGTCTGAATAACAACCTCTTACCTGTTTGAAACCACTGAGCTTTTTACATTTGGAGCATTAGAATCTGGAGCAGGACTTTCAAAAACTACAGCCAAATATAAAACTACTAAACCTCCACTTAGAAGTGAGCTTCAATACCATTGCATTTTTGCTACACTTAGCTTTTTACTATGCTTAGCTAATATCAAATATTTTAAGAAACATGTTGGAAGAAGTTGTTTCAGACTACATCTATAGCTCCACATATTATCATGCTATTCATAGTACTAGCAAAAATGTATCAAAATCAGTTCAAATGTTAAATCATCTCCTAAATCAAGGCAAAAAGTTACCAACTTTTTTCCCAACATGGAAATCTAAGTAGGGGATCACAGAATCCTTTAGAATTTCAGTTGAAAGAATAAACAATTAGAATAGGAATCACCAGGATGAAGTGATGCTGTTTTGGTTAGTTAGCAACCTTGCTGAACTTACATTTTTAGTAATGACAGTTAAAAACTAAGAGGAGAATAAACTGAATGCAACCGTTACTTCAGAGTTGGAAATAAAATCCATTGATGTAAAGACTGCCCAGACACAGCAGAGAATTACACCATCACACTTGCTGAAATCAGAAATTTTAGATTATGTACATCAGCCTGTGTCTCGCCGCCTAATTCACAGCAGAAGGCACTCCCTGAAGAAAAAAAAACTTTTCAAGTCTATCAGAAGGCAAGCAGAAAATAGAGTCCTTCAAGGCACATATAAAGTTATGCTTCGCTAACACCCAGCCTTTTATCTGGAGCGCGACTGCTCACAACATCCATCCAAAACAACTTACTGCGGCTGCCGCTCTCACCCCAGGATAGAACAAGTAACTCACCACACTACAGTCGTAATTAAACTGCATTAGCAAGTGCCCGTCCCGTACCAATTACACCCTCATTAACGGAAGCCTGTTTGTCAGACGTCGCCCTCAGACAGGTGCCTCCTCTTGTTTCCAGCGCGTCGAGCAGCTGGAAGACAACTTTGGGGAATGAAAACAACCTCGGCCAAAGAAAATAGAAAAGGTTATCCCGAGCGGCTGCTGCGGTTCACTTACCCGGCGGGATGGTGAAGCCGGGGGGCAGCTGGATGGTGGTCTGGTGCTGCGGCCTCATGATCAGCTGCGGGGCAACGATCCTGGGGGCAGCACTCAATGCCGGACGGGGAGAAAGAGCTTGCGGGGCTGCAAGGGGGGCAGCGCCCGCCTTGGCAGCGCTGACCGCCGGCTTGGGCGCTGCGGGGGCAGCCGGAGCGCAGTTGGGGGCCGAGCCCTGCCCCGGCGGTGCGGCGGGCGCGGGACTGGCTGAGTTACTGAGTGCGTTTACTGCGGAGAGCGGGCCGTGCGCGGGTTTTATCTGTGCCGTGGCGGCGTCTGCTCTGCCGTGGCTGCTGACTGGTGGGACTGCCGCCGGCCGGCCCCCCGCACCCTCCCCGTTGGGCGCCGCCTCGCCGGGGAGCGCCGCGGTGGCAGCAGCAGAAGCACCCTCCGCCACTCCCGCCGGCCCGCCCCCCCCGGCCGGGGTCCCGCTCCCCCCCGCGGCCTCGTTGCGCTGCGACGGCGGTAGCGTGCTCTCGGCGGCGGGCGGGCTGGGGCTGGGGCTTCCCACTTCCCGGGCAGTGGCGCCGGCAGCCACATGGCTGTTGACAGGCTGGGCAGGGGCGCCGGAGGGCGAGAGAGCGGCGGGCTGCGCAGGGGCAGGGGCGGCGGGCGCGCCGGGGCTGCTGCCGCTGCTGAGGAGAGCCGCTCCATGTGATTGCTGCACACTACTACTGTTTACACTCACTCCCCTCCCTGCCGCCGCTGCTGCTGCTGCCGCCGCTGCCGCCGCCGGGGGGGACGGGGACGGGAGCTGCCCCTGAGTAGGGGTTCGGCTCTCCGCGGCTCCGGGACACCCCGCCGCAGCCTCATCTGCCACGGGAGTGGGAGGAAGCGCGGGATGCCCTTGCTGCTGCCGGACGGGGCTGCTGCCCCCCGCTAGGCTCCCCTGGTGCTGCTGCTGCTGCGGCTGCTGCTGCTGCTGCTGGGACGGGGCGGAAGTCCTGGGCTGGGGCGCCTCGGCGGAGCTCCGGCTGCCGGCCAGCTGCGATTCCAAGGAGCCCACCAGATCGCTGACCGCCTTCTCGTCCACCTCCTCGGAGAAGAGCAGCATCTCTTCCAAGGGGTCCGAGGCGCCCGCCGCCATCTTGCGCTGAGCTGGGAGCCGGCCGCGCAGCGCGCAAGCGCACCGGCCTCTACCGCGCGCCGGGCATGCCGGGAGGGACCGGCTTCCTCCACCCTCCCTTGGGGCGGGGCAGGTATGGGCGCTGAGGGGGTGGCGGCCTCGGCTGCCGGCTCTGACTGACCCGGGTCGCGCCCGGCTCCGCGGCTGCACGGTGAGAGCCGCCGCGCTTCTGAGGAGCGGCCTGACTGGGGAACGGCCACGGGAGGTACAGGGCCTGGGGCATTTAGTGAGAGAGCTGTCGGCTGCTCCCCGGGCGCCGCGGGAAGAGGCGGTGTTCTCCGAACAGGTGCCTGTGCGGTGCTGGTGGTGCGTGTGAGAGCGTGCCGGTAGTTGTGTCTGTAGAGACTTGGCTCGGAGGTTTGATTATTGGAGGAAACCCTAGTGCTGAAAGACAGGTGTGAGCTTGCACGTTGGGAATTGAAATGTCACGCAGTCATGTCATCTTTTTGTTAGCAGAGCTGCCGTAATTATGCTCTTTGCCTTCACTTCATACCCTGTGAGGACGGCTGCAGCCAGGACAATTTTCTTCACGCCTAGGTAGAACTGAAAGCATGTTTGCAGCCAGCTATAGTGGCTCAGGTGCCTGACACCAGCTCCTTCAAAGAAGATCACTGCATATGCTGTTGGGGCGGTTTGAAATCCTAAGAAGCACGAAGAGCTTGTTCAAAGCTACAGCTCCACCTAAACAAGAATGGTTGCAGTAATACAATTCCTAATGCGGACGCTGTTAACAGAAGAGTTGTAAACCAAAACCAGGATTCTTTGCATCGTCACAGCAGCTGTTCAGGCATACTGTATTCCCTCAGCATCCACACAGAAAACTTGAGGTAGTTCATTTTGATACTAACATTTGCCATTGCACTCCTGTATTCCCTTTTCTAATCAAGGTTTGCCTCATGCATTCAGAAATACAACTTAAGAGAAAGGTGGTGGTTCTAAACTGTAATTTCTTTGACTAATGACAGAGCAGTTTGTTTGATGGGGCCTTCAAAATAATTATCCCCCTACGAATAACCATTGCCCACAGTTTGTTGCATCTGTTCTTGCAAACAGGTGATAACTACCATGGATTTGTGATGCTGCCAGCAGAAAACAGCTTAGATTCCATTATCTGTCTCTGCCAGCCTGCAGTAACTTGGATGTCTGCAAACTTGAATGTATTTGAGTTGCTGCTGTGGCCTGAAATGGTGACTCATTCTCCATTTTGTGATTTTTGGGGAATTTCCACACAGCTGAAAAAGGTGCACTGGTGAAAACCCCACCTTCAATTGCATGAGCCACTGATGGAAATGAGTGAAGGGCTTACATTGTATGCATGCACAACTCTTCTCCATTCCCAGACTCAATCTGTTAAGTCAAACATTGTATGACTTGTCAAGTCACTAAACTGCTAATCACTGGCTTGTTACCATCTGTTTCCTCTCAATGTAGGTTACATTTTTATTTGGAGTAGTTTTTCCTGGTTGTCTGTTTATACCTTTAAGAGCAGGCTTATGATGAATCAAAATAAACTGCTTTTAAAATGCATTAAAAATAGGTTGCACCAGTTTAATTAAGTTTACAAGTCTGCTGAAATTAAACCAGTATGTATTTCATAAGTGGCCAGTGACAGTACTGAAAGCCCAAAGGTGTGGTCAGGATGTATAAACAGGAGACAGTGCAGTTAAGTGACTGTGAAAGCACAGTAGTGCTTATGAGAAACAGTGGTAAGTGTCCACAGGAGATCTATGCATCAAAAATTTGCTTAGCAAGTGAGTATTGTTTTTATGGAATGATACAACTGAATTAAAGTTGGACTTTAAACAAGTTTCTACCTGGAAATTTAATTAAAATGTACTAGTAGACTATGACTCAATTTGCTATTGCACAAAAATACAGAATATTCATTTTCGTTGAAAAAAAAAAATCAGAAGCCATCCACTATTACTTTAAGAGTTGCACATTTTATTAACTTCAGAGAAGACTCCATGCTTCCTTCACTTAAATACCCTGATTCTGGACTTGATTTGCATACCACTATCCCCAGTATTTTTCTAATGAAGAGGTAGACATACAATTCTGCAACTAGTCCTGTAGGCAAAAAAAGTTTTTGTATACATTTTTCTAACACTATAGCATTAAACTGGGCGTCTCCATTAAAAAAACACACACAGAAGAAAATTGTATTGCTTTGTGACTTCAGAAGATAAGAAGTAATCTTCACACCAGAGGGAGAAAATGGGAAGTCATGATTTACACAACAGATTTCAAAACTTAAAAAGTTGCCTACTTTTAATTACAGTTTTAGAGTACACTTGTGGGTGGGTAATCTGTAAAACATTAATTGCTATTTCTTCCCACTCACCTCTTCTTAATTGAGCCATTTTATATCTATAAACACACAGAATAAGGAAATATAAAAGAATAATTTAATAAAACATGATATGTACTGATTCATATTGGACTCCTTTCAAGTCAAGAAGTTATGACATATGTAAGAATGTATATAAACTTGTTGCTGAAGCTGCCTTTGGGCTTGTGCTTCTGTGTAGGGAATGAGACTTGGTAAAACACAGAATCTTGGTGAACTTTTATATTCATTCCTTTATTATAAAAATCTTTTTCAAATATTTACATAACTTACAGTAATTCCTATAACATGCAACTCAAACCATGGATTGTAACAATTTAAAGATATTTCCATTAACAATCTCCACGCCTAGTCCCTTTGGACCGCACCATAGGGTTTAACATTGCAATGAATTCCTCCCCTTGCCCCTGCTCCAGTTTCAGCTTACCCATAGACTGCAGTCCTTCAGGGGTGTATCTGCTCCAAGTGGAGCCTTATCTACAAGCCAGTGTCTCCAGTGGCATACCTGCTGCAGCACTGACTTAGCCACAGTTGCTTTGAGGTGCACCTCTCCAGCATGGCCTCCATGGGTCACAATGCCTTCAGAAAAGTTCCTGGTACCAGCATGGCCTTAAGTCATACCCCCTTCAGAAATAAACCTGCTCCAACATGGCCTTATCTACAGCTGCAGACCCTCCAGAGGTGTATCCTCTCTGTTGTAGTCTTATCCTCGGCCACGTGCTTTGAGGTGGTGCAGTTATGACCTCATGCACAGCCGCTGATGCTTCAAGGTGTACCTTCTCCAGCATGGACTCATTCTTGAGTTGCATCCCTTCAGAGGTATACCTGCTGAAGCTCAAAAATAACAAGGGCCATAGATGCTTCAAGATGTGTACCTGCTCTGGCATAGACTTACCTATAGCCACAGATGGTTCAGGGTGTCCTGCTCCTATGTGGGCTGATTGATGGGTCACAGTGCCTTTGACTTGAGTTCACACTGGAGTTCCAGCCTGTCCAGGAAGAGCAGAAACAGCACAGAAACAGCAGCCATGCCCTGGCCATCTGCCAGCCCAGGCACACTGCCATTCCTGTTATCAAAATGTTCCCAGGCACAGCAGTTAGATGATAAGCAGGACAGCAAGCAGTGAAAGCAAAAGGCAGCCACTAATGAGCTCAACACTGATGCACAGTAAGGCAAGCAAGCCCCATGGCAAGCACAGCATGCTGTCAGTTAATAGCTAAACAGCAGTAACAGCTATAAACTCCATCTAGCAATCCCAGTCACATCTATTGTTATCTCAAACCCTATGTGCCCTATGTTGGACACCAAAAAGGACAGTCATCGTTTAACCCCAGCTGGCAACTAAGCCACAACAGAGCCACTCACTCACCCTCCCACCCCCAAGTGGGATGGGGGACAGAATTGTAAGGATAGAAGTGATAAAACTCATGGGTTGAAATAAAGAGAGTTTATAGGTAAAGCGAAAGCTGAGCACATAAGCAAAGCAAAACAAAGAATTAATCCAGCACTTCTCATTGGCAGGCAGGTGTTCAGCCATCTCAAGGAAAGCAGGGCTCCACCACATGTTAGTGGTTACTGAGGAAGACAAATGTCAGCACTCTAAACTGTCTTCCCATTCCTTCTTCCTCCAGCTTTACATGCTGAGCATGACACCATATGGTATGGAAAACCCCTTTTGTCAGTTGAGGTCAGCTGTTCTGGCTGTGTCCCCAAGTCCTTGTGCACCCCCAGCCTACTCACTAGTGGGATGGCGTGAGGAGCAGAAAAGTCCTTGGTTCTCTGTAAGCTGCTCAGCAGTAACTAAAACATCTCTGTATTACTAACACTGATTTACCAAATCCAAAACACAGCTCCACGTCAGGTACTGCAAAGGAAATTAACTCTATCCCAGACAAAACCAGGACACCGCTAAAAGAATGAAAGCACTTAGAAAGGAGCACTATTTGCCTAGTTCAATGACATGTTCTTTTTAAATATACACTTTCAGTGCCTTCAAATATACAATTTATCTTAAGTTTATATTTAATGTTAAAATGGTACCTACCAAGTTTAAATAAGGCTTTCAGATAACTTTTTAAATGAATTCAAATCAGGCTTTACACATAGAATTGAAATTCACTTTGTGTTGTAGAAATATTCTTTCAACTCCTGATCTTAAGCATGAATTAAAAACCATAAAATCCACAAAAGTAGATAGCACTGAGATGGTTAGAAAATATCAGTATTATCAGCACTGTTCCCAGGCTGAAAGTCAAAACACAACGTTGCACAAGCTACCAAGGAGAAAAATTGGCTGCTACTGCTAAACCCAGGACAGTATCCAAAGGCTATTCTAGAAACATGCCTAATTTTAGTTTCATGTACTTCAATTGCAAACAAATTTATTTTTTATATATGGTTTATAGAAATTTAGGAGCTTTTGTTTTGAAGTTAATCGTCATTGTAAATATTTGTCTGTACTTACCAAGACAGGACTTGATGGAAAGCTTTACTTTGAGCTGAGTTTAAAATGTTGATTTTCAGCAGTGGTCTCCCACGGACTTGACACGGACATATATATCCAGTAATTAACTGCACAACTTTGTTCCAAAATCTTTCAGTTAGTTCAGGACATGCTAAAAGAACATCACAGTAAAGCTCCCTGGGCACTCAAGTCCTCCACGACGTTAGACAGTTGAACCTGTGCATAAAGTTTCTGGAAATCTAATATAGCTCCTATTTAGAATCCCACAGGATCTTCCAGAAAAATCTGTCTTGCTATTGTGCTTCAAAGCCCTATTCTGAACAAAATACTTGATGAATCTTTGCAATATATGAGTGTCCAGTTGCTGCAACAAAAGCTATTAAGTGCTCTTTTCCAGAAGTTAGTTTTTGTTGCATGCAATTTTCTAGGCTGTAAATATACAAAGGGCACCTGAGACAGTATCATGTTTTAAGAGACAAAGCCTCCAACAGGAAGCCCCATTTGTAATTTTTACTTGAGATGTACAAGTTAAGTGCAATCTCAAAATTATTTTTGTGTGTGTGTGCTTCTACTAAAAGGGTATTTGTTACAGATTAATCCCACACTTCAGTCAAGATTACATCAACAGTTGCATTGTTCAGTGTTGTTTGGCAAGATCCCACCATCTCAAGGCTCTGATGACCCAGTAAAACAGAATCCCTGTTGAAATGCAAACTAAATAGTTAACTGTCATCACAACTTTTGCAGGTCTCTGCATGACTGGTTTCTAAATCGCTTATTAAGGATCACATAAACATAGCATTCAATAACAGGTGGCTTAGGCTTCTCTAAAAAAAATGAACACCCCAAATCATAGAATCATAGAATAGTTAGGGTTGGAAAGGACCTTAAAATCATCTAGTTCCAACCCCCCTGCCATGGGCAGGGACACCACACACCAGGGATGGAGCCTTCACAACTTCCGTGGACAACCCATTCCAGTGCCTCACCACCCTTACAGTAAAGAACTTCCTCCTTATATCCAATCTAAACTTCCCCTGTTTAAGTTTGAACCCATTACCCCTTCTCCTACCACTACAGTCCCTAATGAAGGGTCTCTCCCCAGCATCCTTATAGGATCCTTTCAGATACTGGAAGGCTGCTATGAGGTCTCCACGCAGCCTTCTCTTCTCCAGGCTGAACAGCCCCAACTTTCTCAGCCTGTCTTCATACGGGAGGTGCTCCAGTCCCCTGATCATCCTCGTGGCCCTCCTCTGGACTTGTTCCAACAGTTCCATGTCCTTTTTATGTTGAGGACACCAGAACTGCACACAATACTCCAGGTGAGGTCTCACGAGAGCAGAGTAGAGGGGCAGGATCACCTCCTTCGACCTGCTGGTCACGCTCCTTTTGATGCAGCCCAGGATACGGTTGGCTTTCTGGGCTGTGAGCGCACACTGAAGCCGGCTCATGTTCATTTTCTCATCTACCAACACCCCCAAGTCCTTCTCTGCAGGGCTGCTCTGAATCTCTTCTCTGCCCAACCTGTAGCTGTGCCTGGGATTGCTCCGACCCAGGTGTAGGACCTTGCACTTGGCATGGTTAAACCTCATGAGGTTGGCATCTGCCCACCTCACAAGCGTGTCAAGGTCCCTCTAGATGGCATTCCTTCTCTCCAGCGTATCAACCGAACCGCACAGCTTGGTGTCATCGGCAAACTTGCTGAGGGCGCACTCAATCCCACTGTCCATGTCAGTGACAAAGATGTTAAACAAGACCGGTCCCAACACCGATCCCTGAGGGACACCACTCGTTACTGGTCTCCAGCCGGACATTGAGCCATTGACCACAACTCTTTGTGTGCGGCCATCCAGCCAGTTCTTTAGCCACCGAGTGGTCCATCCATCAAATTGGCGTCTCTCCCATTTAGAGACAAGGATGTCGTGTGGGACAGTGTCGAACACTTTGCACAAGTCCAGGTAGATGACAGCAACTGCTCTACCCCTGTCCATCAGTTCTGTAGCCCCATCACAGAAGGCCACCAGATTGGTCAGGCAGGATTTCCCCTTAGTGAAGCCGTGCTGGCTGTCACCAAGCACCTTGCTGTTTTTCATGTGCCTTAGCATGCCTTCCAGGAGAATCTGCTCCAAGATTTTGCCAGGCATGGAGGTGAGACTGACTGGTCTGTAATTCCCCGGGTCATCCATTTTCCCCTTCTTGAAAATGGGGGTTATATTTCCCTTTTTCCAGTCATCGGGAACTTCACCTGACTGCCATGATTTTTCAAATATGATGGACAGTGGCTTAGCCACTTCTTTCACCAGCTCCTTCAGGACCCGTGGATGGATTTCATCAGGTCCCGTGGACTTGCGCACATTCAGATACTGTCCTGGATTAAACAGCAGCAGTCATTCTTTCTCCTTCTTCGTAGCTGGTGCAGTGCTGTGGTTTTGACTTCCAGCCTAGGAATCACGCTGATAACACACCGATGTTTTTAGATGCTGCTTCGTAATGTCTACTCTGACCTAGGACTTTCTGAGTCTCATGCTCTGCCAGGGAGGAGGGGAAGTCAGGAGGAAACAGAGACAGGACACCTGACCCAAACTAGCCAAAGGGGTGTTCCATACACAGTTTATATACTGCGGACATCCTGCCCAGTATATAAACTGGGGCAATTAACCAGAAAGACTAGATCACTTCTGAGGTCGGGCTGGGTATTGGTTAGCAGGTGGTGAGCAGTTGTATTCTCTCCCCTTGTTATTTCCCTTATCTTACTATTACTGGTGGTAGCAGTAGTGGTTTGTGTCATACCT